CAAGTGCCAAAAGCCGCATGCGGCTGTGCGCAACCTGTCTATTGTCTTTGTCGATGAACAGCCCCACTTACACATCATTTTTGTCACCATAGAAGCCCACCCGCCTGTTGTCTTTGTCAACATGAAAGCCTGCCTGCACGTCGCCTTTGTTGGCAAGGAAGCTCATCTGCACATCGTCTTCGTCGGGTCAGTGTATCGCCTTTGTTGGGACCACATGTGGGTCTGGCCAACACAGAACCGTCACTTTGTCCTTGAGGCAGCCCAAATTAGGCCTCCCTTTGTTTTTCAAAACCACTGCCAGCTGCTGGCAGCCTGCTCCTAAGACTACTGTGTCGTGACTTGAAGATCTAGAACAAAGTGCCGCGACAGAAATAAGTATACGTGAGAAAAATACAGTAAGTAAATTATGAAATGTAAAACAGATATATGAGTAATATAGTAGTTACAGATCGTCAACGAAGAAGTAAACTAATTACAGCAAGCCAAGGGATGTGTGAGTATGTGCAGTAGGTATTTCAAGAACGCAAAATTAGGTCATAAATATTGTGATTGGAGGTGGAGGGGGATCATAAAAAATACAGCTAGGTATCTCACCCATTGAAGTAATAACACTCATCATGAGTGTGCTGAAACCCGCCAAGCTGTTGATAGTGGAAAACATAAAGTATTCACAGTGTGTAACTCCGCATGCACAGTTGACCCAGACCCGCTTGTCGCGGTCGCAGAATTGCTCGAGTTGGGGAAGGCATTCTGAGTGTCCTCAGTTTGATTTTTGTTCTCTAGTGTCGGCAGCTTGGCGGACTTCAGCGTGCTTATGACGAGAGTTATCAATTCCATGAACAAGCAACCCATTTGTGATTTGTTTGACCCCCCCCCTCCACCTCCGCTCGCAATATCTACGACCTAATCTTGCGTTCTTGAAATATCTACTGCACCTACTCACGCGTGCCTTGACTCGCTGTATTTAGTTTACTCTATCAATGACCTGTAACTACACTACTATTGAGTCCTCACATAGTTTGTCACTTCATAGGATCGCAGAAGTTCGTCACCTAAGAAGTAAGTTCGTCATATGCATAGGGAAGCTTGTCACTTACCTCTTTCTGTTAATCAGGCAAGCACAGAGGTCTGGAGTCAACAGTAAGAACTCTGTTAGATTGCATGAGATAAAACTACTTGCCTGGAGTCAACAGTAAGAACTGAAGATCCAGGGCAATGCTACTCTACTTATATACCTATGAGGACAATAGAGTAGCTAGAACAATAAGAACAATAAGAACAATAGACACAATAAGATGGCTATCAAGACAATAGGGACAATAGAGACAATAAGATGGATGTCAAGACAATAAGATTGTTATCAGGACAATAAGATCCCGATCAGATAAGAGGATCGGATAAGATCAGAGAGATCGGATGGGATCAGATAAGGAGATCAATGATCACGGATCACAGAGGATCAGATCAGATCAATGATGCGAGAATGTCACAGTCCATTCACACACTCCAACACTTTCAGCCTTGCGAATGCGCAAGATCATCAGATGGTAAGTGAACACTAAGTGAACGTCAAGGAGATTTGACATGTGAGTCACATCATGGTGCAAGCAGCAGACACGGCCTGCAATGAGTTTTTAATGGCCACATCGCGGTCAAAGTTGGGTCAAAGTGTATAATGAACAGTTTCTTGTGACCCAAGCAACAAGTCCTTATGAGATGTTTTTTTAACAAAAACAGGTTCGGAATCCCCTCATCTTTTGAACGGGAAATCACCCCATACTTGAGTTGAACACTCTCGAAGATGCGGTTCCAAAGTAGAGTTGGAAATTGCCAATGGGTGAGGACAGAAGTGACAACAAACTCGTGGTTCTATCAGGTGGTTCTAAATCGCAAGGCCACCAAGAACGCCGAGGGCGAGCGAGTTGATGTTGAATCTCATAGCGATTGGAAGGGACGGGTGGAAAATGAACATAGAATGGGCACATGGGAATATTAAGATAAATATAAGTCTGATTTAAATTGATTGGACTGCTTGAACTACCTGCATAAGCACTGTGTTATCTACTAGATGTCCAGAAGTAGTATTCAGGCTTGCCTCCTAAGGGACTTGATCTATCTAGAGAAGCCTTGGAGAGGGAGAGAAGAAGAAGAATCACAGGGCAGGAGATTGGAGTAAGTGTACAGATGTACAGGATGTGTGTGGCCAGTGTGAGCATCCAATTGCATAAGCTACAACCGACTTGAGGACAAAATATTTATCCAAGGTGCAACACTGAGCAAGGAATGAATCCCGGAAACAGAATCACCAGAGATTAACGTGCAGCGTGCTCAAATAAGTGAGCTGTTGAGCCGTTACTACAGGAATGAACAAAGAAGAATCTGCAGGAGATCGCCAAGAAGCCCGAATAAAATTCTCGATTTTCTGGTCGATGGGGCTTCCTCACAAATATCCCGAAACTTTTCCAACTAGACATCTATTTTTTCCTTCAGCCTTTTCTCCATGGCATCAGATTCTCAGTGTGGCATGGATCCATCGTGCTGTGCTATCAAATACACGAAGATTGGTTCCTGGTTTTGATCTCCTAACTCGGTTTTTAGGTGTTTGCTGGTACAAATAATGTTCTGCACTGAGAAAAAAAACTTTGCAGTCTTATTTCTATCTGAATTAGTCCAGTTACTCGTTTATGCTCTTCATAATCCTGGGCAATCTCTTCCCAACCCACTCCTTTGCAGTCAGCTCCTTGCGGGTCATGTCGTTATACAAAATGTTGCAAGATCTTCTACTGCCTTCCAACTAGACTGGCTCAAATCTCATTCACCGGTGCACTGAAGCGCACACATTCAGGGTATTCATTTGTTCACATCTATGTTGAATGTCTGCAGTCAAAGAATATTCCGATAAGACAGATTGATTGAACAATGCCTCTTGGAGCGGAAAATGCAAGCATTATCTATGGGAACCGTGCGTGTACCAAGCCCGACTCCAGAAGGAAATGGAACCATGGATTTATTTAACATTTAATATTTGAATGATATTAGTAGGACAATCTGTTGACCCAGAGGAGACAACTTACCATCCACATTATGTTGATACTGCAGTACTATTCCAAAGGTTCAAGTGATAGTACTGGTCATTCAAAATCAAAAGGAACTCTTTTGGCCATCTCAGTGAGTGAAATTTTCGAAATTTGTGAACCTTTGGTCAAAATAAGATAAACTTCAATGTGGTGTGTACCAGCTTTCACAGCCAATCCCCATCAGTCCGCTGTGTGCCTGAAAAGTCAAGTTGTTGAACAGGGCCAAGCAGCATCTCTGCAAAAGATACAACACTCCACTACTCTGAACACATGTTGTGAGTGGACACTGTTCGTATGTCGTTCATATGTTTAAAGTTGTTTGATGTTCAAACACCTTCCACAGACGTGTCTGACTGAGGACATGACCTCAGAAGTTGCTTTCAGTTGTACTTGGGAATGCAGACTTTCAAGGTTTGGCGTCAAAGTCAATGAAAAGAAAGTTCTAGAGGAAACAGAATTTATTTTTTCACACTGACAGTACATGAGGAGTAGGTGTGCAGTAGATCCATAAACCACCAGGCACAATAATCTCAAAGGTACCAGAAGTTCTGCTTTTGTAACCTCTGTGAAATCCTCGGGATGGTGAGCAGTGCTCATCCTCTATGAGTCTGAGCTTCAGAATTAGAATAAAAGCGTAAATCAGCCGGAAACTATACTACTGGCAAGTCACCAGCATTGGCATTCGTGAAAACAAAGTGAAACAGCGGTTGAAAACTTTGAAGACAGATATTGAATGCACAAGACAAGCAAATCAAGACGTATCTCAGACTACAATGATATCTGTACATCTGCTTTGAGGAGTCATTCTTGTTCGTTCAACTGAGAAGATGGCAGAATAAATTATATCTTTCTGTGGGCACCCTCAATTCAAACTCGGGAGAATTGAGCCGGTGGGAATAATGGCTGCTGCAAGAGGATAAGTAGAGTTAGTCATTGAAGCATGGCGCACACATACCTTGTCAGCATGCATGGGCAAGGCAGAGTGCACAACCTTGCAGCGCGAATGAACACATTTGAATTTGGCCTCAATATTGGGTCAGTAATGGAACTAGAACAACAAAAAGGGTACACCCACCCTAAACTGGTAATTTCCACTTCAATAAGCAGTTAGTAATGTCAGCAAGGTAGTCGAATAGAAAACAGGTATTGAAATGAATATATGGTGATACAGCCAATGGTCGAAGTTAGAACTTGCGGAATAGAGAATGGCAGAGGTTTGAAAGTAAAATGAAGTAAAAGATCAAATAAGGATGAAACAGAGACAACCAAGAGACATGCCTGGATCAAATGCAAATGCACCCACTACTGAATAAAGTCAAAGATAAGTACCTTGACTCGAGGCTAGACTCTGAAATGAAGTCAGATCTAGTCAGCGAATGGAATTATTCAAGCAGAAATACAATAGCTTGAAGGGAGGTGTCAAGACAACCTGAATGTGGTGGTTAATGAGAGGAATTAAGCAAGGTCAGGTCAACCATACCAAATATCACCAAAAAGCTGAAATAGCCGAATCAATTGCGCTAATACAGTCCCTGTTGGAAAATGGCTGAACCCGGAATCGAACCGGGGACCTCTAAGTGATTGCGCCACTAGTGCTCTTTCCAGCTGAGCTATTCTGCCGATAGTGTGCAAGGAACAAATCCATACTGCAACACTCCCCCGGTTACTAAGCAATATTGGCTTATGTAACTCGCAAAGGGGGGCACCATTTTCCTAGGCACTCTCAGGCTGCAAAGAGACTGTTTCACTCTTTGACTTATAACCTGTGAGTTGCTGCTACCATGTTGGAAAATGGCTGAACCCAGAATCGAACCGGGGACCTCTAAGTGATTGCGCCACTAGTGCTCTTTCCAGCTGAGCTATTCTGCCGATAGTGTGCAAGGAACAAATCCGTACTGCAACATTTGTTCCTTGCACACTATCGGCAGAATAGCTCAGTTGGAAAGAGCACTAGTGGCGCAAAATCACTTAGAGGTCCCCAGTTTGATTCCGGGTTCAGCCATTTTCCAACATGGTACAGTGCCTGCCATCACATCACGCCTCCTGATTTGGCAGTAAACAGCTGACAACATTGAATCTGTTTCTACATTTTAACATCAGGCGCTGTTGAGACGGAAACACATCTAATACACTCTGTTCACCCCAAAGTACCTCTGGTGTGGTTCTCAAAGCGAAAAATGAACATTTTATTTTTGAGCTGTCGCAAAAGTGAAACAAACCCTAATGATGGCATCAATTGCCTTTTTAGGTAGGGTTACCGCCAGCCGACACTGCCGGCACACTCGCACGAGCAAGAATTTTGGGGTTTGTGTGAGCACTGGTGGGAATACGGTGATGGGAGCTATACAGCTTTACTGCATAGGCAGATTGGCGGAGGTTCAGACCCTGTCTGGTACCAGTTTAATTAGATGTGCACACGGAAAGTACTGGGAGAAATACCTGTAGGCATCCATGTACCGGTAGCAGTGCTGGAAATAACGTCGAATATTGTCATTTGAGACAAGATCCAGAGACTCGGGCACAAGTTGTTGAGCCCGGGAAAATGTTCCATCCGTTAATTCCCGGAAGCCTAATATGTGGTAAGTAATGAATGGCAGACAAATGGCAACACACACGTCGTTTCAATTGACTCCACACCATCTCAATGGGGTTCAATTCGCAGTGGAACTTCGGAAGAAACAGGCACTTGTGGCCTGCCTTCTCGATGATCAGCTGAAGCAAAGGCTTTTCCGCGAGGAAGTCAGGTTGAAGTGATAGAATGCGTTGCATGCAGCAATTGGATGGACGATTCACGTCAACATCCTCCATCTCCGAGACACCCCGACCGAGGCCAGCAAACCCACCATTTTCACCTTCTTCCTGCTGCGATTTTGCGTCCTTCAAAGCTTTCTCCCGAGCAGCTTGAGACAATTTACATGTTGCGCAAACCCCAACCAATTTCTTGCCTGGATGTTCGGTGGCAAATTGTTCAAGAATGCCACGCTCACGAAGGACATGTTCCATCCCCTTTGGCTGACCCGCAAGAGGATTACCAGCAGAATCAAGGCCAGTATAATTGTCGGGGAAAACCATTGCCTGCGGCCCACCCGTTGATGGAATGATTGTATCGCGCATGTGCAGCTGCTTTCCTGCAGGACCACGATTCATCTTGTGTGCCAAAAGAGCATCGGCTGAGTACGCCTCATGAGCAGAGGAGCAATCAAAGACGAAAACCGCAACGCCGTTGGGATATTTGACGTTGAAAATCTTGATTGCATTTTTAACCTGCGCAAAGTGAGTAAGAAATTCTTCAATATGAAATGCCAGACCTGTGCAATGAGCTGAGGCATATCCCACCATGGGTCGTTCTTTGCCCCTGGATAGATAATGCAACGGGCATCGAACACAGGGATTTGGTAGGCTGAGAACGGCGCTGGTGGAGGTGGTGGTGTCCAGTCATTCTCAGCATAAGTCCGACCTTGCACAGGTTTCGCAGCTGGTTCCTTTGCCTTTGCCTTCCCCTTACCCTTGCCTTTGGCTGAGGGTGGAGTGGTTGCACTCGTTTCCGAGAACAATGCCGGGTCAAGGACAAGGGGAGGGACAGAGGAAGGAGGGAGAGGCTCTTTGGGAAGAGAAAGCTGAGCTTCAACTTCATCGGGTGTCAATGCGAGCCGGCCACAATGCTCGAGGATAAAATCCGAGACATGAACAAGTCGTCCACAGCTCTTCTGACGGAGAGGTTGCTCGCCCTCTCTCATCCACTCAAAATTAGACATGTCCCCAGCATGCACGCAGCATTCATCATGTGCAATCACATAATGAATCTTCTCACCGTCCTTGAGAACTGGTGAGGTTTCTTGAAGTGTTTCATCAACCCCATTGTCGTCGTATTGGTAGCAATATCTGATGGTTGTGGACCTTAGAATAAAGCAGATGAAGAAGCATTCAAACACTCACGGCAAAATTTGAAGCCATAAGTGCTCAATGAACTTCTCCCGACTCTCGACGACATCTTTTCTCTCATGCCCGTCGACATAAACACCTTTCTGAACCCGACAAAGGCTGAACCCCATCTTCTTGAGCCACCTAACGGCGGTTGACTCGCTGATGGTAGTGTTGATTTTGAGTTTGGGAAGTAAAAAGTCGTTGATGTAACGACGCATTTTAGCGGGACGCATCTTCACATATTTGTGGTCAGCTTTTGTTGACATTCACAGAGAAATTAAATGCAGAATTTACCCGTCCAATAAACCTGCCCTGTTCAACCTCAAGCGTCCCTTTAACCCACTCCTGAAGCGCTTCACGAATGGCCGGGTTGTCAAGCAGAGACTCGTGGTGGGCGCCAACACCTTGATGTTTCTCTGGCATGGTGCCATCATTCAATAGTTGGGCAGCCATTTCCCGGAGAACTCGAGCAAAATACGGACCCCGGCCACAGCGGTGTGAAATTGCCAAACTGGCTTCCTCAACAGGATGAGAATTTGCAAGCCTCTGCTTCAGTTTTGGGCGTAAAAGGCGACTGGCAGTTCTGAGATTCGTTTTGAGTTTGATTTTTTTAAGAGCCAGTTCCAGTAGCTTGTCATTGTATTGACTGAGAGCCTCGAGATCGAGAAGAGTACTGGCGGCTTTGGTGTTGCTGATCAGAACCTCTTTCTTATTGAGTGCCTTCTTTTGTGTTTTAATTAGATGGCGCAGCTTTGTGTGGTTGCCTTTGACTTCCGCTTCGTTGGTTGTTGACTGATTGACAGATTTATCGGCCAGAGGTGTGGCTGCAATAGCCACGGGGGTAGTGAAAGTGTCTGCAGCCTCGATGAGGAAGTCAGGATCAGTCATCTTTCGACAACACAATTAGGATTGTTTTTGAACTGTTGGAAAAAATTGAGAACATACCTGAACATCCGGTTCAGCAGCCACCACTGCGGAGTCACTGGTGTCGAATGCTTCCAGGAGAGGGTTGGAGTCAGTCATCTTTGGACAAATGAGATAAATATGAATGTCAGAATAAACGGAGAAAGTTACGGGAATGTCGGTATTATCGGTGCCGTCAACAGAGCTGATGGCAAACTCCTCAAGAATCTGGCGGGGATTCAATGAGCTCAACTTGTTCCCTTCTTTTTTTTTGAATATCTACCTCTATATCTGAATCAGACTCCTCTGATTCTTGGCGCTCTGCAAGGGCGGCTTTCCGAGGATTGACCACCGGCTAAAAGAACTTTTTAATTTGGAACCAAACAGTCACAAAATATGTAGAACCTTGAAAAGAGAAGTGATCTTTGAATGCATATTAATTGCACGTGCTTTCTTTGTCTTCCCAGTCTTGTCGCGCCACTCTTTTGTGCGAGATTTATTTGCTTTTCCGAGTTTGCGGTCCGGAATCAAGTCAAGATCCAAGTTACGCTTGCGTTTGTGTGCCCCCTGTGAAATTCATTATTTTGTGTACACAGCGGTTGGGTATGTAGGCAAACGGACCCGCAGCTCTCCACTGGTAGAAGGTCCGGTCTCGGCATCTGATTCTGAATCTTCTCGCAGCGGCACGTAGGTTGCATCAGCGGCAACAGATGGGTGGACCGGAGGCATCACAGGCACCTCACCCCGTTTTCCGGCTTCGCGCTGCAGTGCCGCGGCCTGTTTGCCAGTTTTCCGTGGCATCTTTGAGAAGAATCAATGGATGCACAAGATGCCACGTCTGCGACAGCTTGATCGGCTCAAAATCCAAAAGGGGTACACTGAATTTTTTGGGATTCTCGCCGAAAAAGTGAAACATCGTGGGAAAAAATGAGATCTCGACGTAAAACGCATTCTTTTCACTGGTTTCCTTCTCCAGAAAATCAGAAAAAAATCAAAAAAAATTCCTTTGCATTCAAAAACAGGTTGCGGAGATGTCGCGAGGTGCACTGTAGCAACAACTCACAGGTTATAAGTCAAAGAGTGTAACAGTCTCTTTGCAGCCTGAGAGTGCCTAGGAAAATGGTGCCCCCCTTTGCGAGTTACATAAGCCAATAGTGCTTAGTAACCGGGGGAGTGTTGCAGTATGGATTTGTTCCTTATCGGCAGAATAGCTCAGCTGGAAAGAGCACTAGTGGCGCAATCACTTAGAGGTCCCCGGTTCGATTCCGGGTTCAGCCATTTTCCAACAGATCTCAATGCAGAAGCCATCATGGATGCCTCTTCCACTCACCAGGGATACCGCACTCATCATCAGGGAGGTGATACCAGCCAGATTAGTCCCCTATCTGGTCTTGCTATGGCAGCAGCTCCCCCATCTGCCCCAGTTGCACAACCTGCTGCAGCTCTTGCGGCTGCACCGCCTGTTCAGTTGCCTTCTACTTGCGCCGGATGTGGCAAGCCCAATCACCAACTTGTCAACTGCTTCAAATTCCTGGAGCTTCTTGGCAAAAAGGGCAAAGGTGCAGCAGCAGCGTCCTACGTTGCACCGAATGCAAGTCTTCTCGCTTCCTCTACCTCACCTCTTGCTGACGAACAATAGAACTCAGACTCAGGGTGCACTTCGCACATGACTCCCAACCGGAAGCATTTGTTGCACGCACATCCATACAGAGTTCCAATCCAAGTCGCAAATGGAGTTATAGTTCACTCCGAGTTGAGGGGGGATATCTTGCTTCGGCCACGTATACACGGACGCAGTAGCTGTAGGCGTATTCTCCTTACAAATGTCTTATATGTTCCACATCTATCTCACAATCTCATCTCAACTACCTATTTGTCTCGCATTCATGGCTATTCTGTTCTCATGGAGGGATCTACAATCACCTTCAGTCGAGATGGAGAGCTCTTATTTGAAGCGGACATCGATGAGAGGAACCAGGCATTTGTGAGAGAAGACGCTCCTGATTCTGATTCAGCCTTGTCTGCAGTTGGAACCTTGCCTCTTGATCTAGACCTGTTGCATCGTCGACTCGGTCATCATTCTGATACCCAAAAGATCTTGAGCAAGAATCTTGTTACTGGTGCGAAAATCACTTCAAACCAGAAGCTAGATCCAATCTGTGAGCCATGCCTTGC